CTTTCTCTCCCCTCTTCCAGATCTCGCTCGTCTTTCTCACTTTATACAAACACAAATGTATACATTGCGTTTGTGTTTGTATACATTTGTGTTTGTACAAAGCGAGAGAAAATTGTATATATAAATACAAATGCATATATTTTCGTCTTATACACTTATGATTATACAAATACGATCTTCCCCTGCCCTGTTTTCTTTTGTTTTTCTCTCTTTCTCATTTTATACAAATACAGATTAAACAATTGACTCTTTTGTATTTGTATACCGAAATATATTATACAATTACTTCTTTTGTATATATGTATAGCGAAATAGCCATAACAAACATAAAGTTTGTTATGGAATACAATTATGCAAACTATAGTTATACCATACAAATATAATTTTTGTGTTTGCTATATGTGAAAGTCGATTGAGTAAAAAATCATGTGAATTTATTCTTTATCACAAATTATTCCAATCATTTGACTGCGCACTGTTGGGGCTAATTAATTCATAATGTTTTCGACGAGAGACGTGACACATAATTAGTCTCCTATGTAAATTTTATAATTATATTGATGCAAATTCCCAACTTGCATTTGAACTGGGGGATATCTGCTACCAACTTTCACATATAGCAAACATAAAAATTATATTTGTATGTTATAGCTATAGTTTGAATAATTGCGCTCCATAACAAATTTTATGTTTGTTATGGAGCTTTTGATTTGTGTAATTCGCTGCAAACATTCAATTTTATACAAATTATTCAATTTTGTATAAATTCATTTATACATTGTAATTTGTATAATAAGATATATATTTGTATAATTATAAGTGTATAGGACGAAAATATATATATATTTGTATTTTTATATACACTTTTCTCTCGCTTTATACAAACACAAACGCATTTTATACAATTTATACCGAAATGTATAAAATGACTAATTATATACCGAAAATGGCTAATTGTATACCGAATCAGATGGCAAAAAAAGGGGATGTTTACTGCGAATTACAATTAAAATAAACTATGGGTATAAAATTTAATTTGAATTAATAGTTCCCTTACTTAAATACTTTAGTAGGTAGTAATTCAGTATATTGATCTAATCTGCTGTTGAAAAAAAAGCATAAATAATATATTTTTTACGCCATTGTTGGTGAAGGGAGATAACTCTCTCAATTATACCTAAAACGGGAGGAAGTAGGTCTTGCTTCATATTTGTTGATTTATTTACGTCACTTCATGCAGATAAAGCTTGTTAATCGAGTAGGTAATTTTGAATTAGCTCCCGAAACTGTCTTGTTGGACCTGATACAGTTTTGGAATGAGATGATGCGGCCCACATGGTTCATGTAGAATCCAGCCCAATTTCCTAAAAATTGTAACGATAAAAAAATGAAATAAAAAAACCGCTAGAAGGAGGGCTTGAACCTCCGACCTTGTGGTTAACAGCCACACGCTCTAACCAACTGAGCTATTCCAGCTACATTTCCAAATTCATATATAGTTTATTGTTAATTAGTTTTTGGCCCCAAATTCACAAATATTCTAGATAAATCATTTTTGGGTGAAGTTTCACCATGCGTTTGGTCATAACTCAGAAGTTTTGGGAGAATATTTGACTATTTCAAAAAATATGATTTATATCTATAAGTTTTAAGTTATTAAATATACCTTTAAGTTTGTATTGTCATTTTATAATGAACATGTTTCGGAAAAATAACCTTATAACAGTCACAACAACAAAATAACAATATGGACAAAAATAAGACTTCATTGCATATTTAAACTTGTCACTGATTCAGGATGAATATAACCTAGCTATTAAAAATAAATTTTCTATTTCTGCCAAGTTTTGTATGAATAGGAAAGAAGAGTAATTATTAATTATTAACGGAGTAATTTGATAGATAAATATTAGTAAGGAGAAATAATAAATGATGGATGTTTTTTATAAAATATAAAAATTTGGATTAATTTTTTAATTTTTAAAAATTTCTAAATATTAGAACTTGGCTTAAATACTTCAAATTCTAATATTTGAAAACTTGAAATATTTGGCAAATATATTTGTCAAAAAATAACAAATTATGTAGTCAAACACCATTTTCTAAATTTCTGCAAAATTTTCCCAAATATATTTTTGAGGCCAAACAAATCCTTAATTTCGTGACCTTCATGATAATGTCTGACTATTTTTGTACGCCTTGATGCAAAGACATACTCACATAATGAGGAGAAGAGATTACTCCTCCGTTTCAAATTAATCGAATTATTGAGGTGTTTCACATTTTTTAAGAAAAGAAGATTAAGACATAAATTAGATATAACTTTTCATTTTACCCTTATTAATTATTGTCAAATTTATGATTAAAATAACAAAACATTAATTAATAACTAATTCCAATACTAACTAATGAAGGGTAAAATTGGAAGAACATTCTAAAAATAGTCTCGAAAATTGAACAATTAAGTTAATTTGAAAAATGAAAAATATTTCAACAATTCAATTAATTTGAAACGGAGGAAGTACGTCAACTTCAAAAAAAAAATTATATTATACTTTTTCAGTCCATAATTATTTGTACAGTTTTTTTTTTATCTGTCTCTTTTTACTTGTCCATTTTGACAAATTAAGAAAGAACAATTTTTTTTTACCTGTTATACCTCATTTAATTAATTTTGAAAAGGTTAAAACTTCTTGAAAATCTTAAATTTTTAATTAATCCATTTCATAATTAATAAGGTGAAATGGGAGTAATTCACTAAGTCAATCATTGTTTTCTTACTATGTGTATCAATTCAAAAGTTGACAAATAATTATGACAAAAAATATATATAGAGGAACTTTCACATATGACCACTCAAAAATAGCCTAATTACTCTCCATAGCTATAGTTTGATAATTACAATTCATAGCTACATGTTATAGGGAGGAGAGAGGCGAGCGATTCTAGGAGAGAGGCGAGCAAGAGAGGGCAAAGAGTGGGGAGAGGTGAATTGTATATGTATATCGGTTAGATAATTGTATACTATGCATATGTATTTGTATATATGTCAAGCGAGATTGGGAGAGGGAGGAGAGATGCGTGCGAGATTTGGAGAGGGAGGAGAGAGGCGAGCGAGAGAAGGCAAATAGTGGGAGAGAGGTGAATTGTATATGTATATCGGTTAGATAATTGTATATTATACATATGCATTTGTATATATGTCAAGCGAGATTGGGAGAGGGAGGAGAGAGGCGAGCAAGATTGGGATAGGGAGGAGAGAGGCGAGCGAGAAAGGGCAGAGAGTGGGAGAGAGGTGAATTGTATATGTATATTGGTTAGATAATTGCATATTATACATATGTATTTGTATATTCTGGAGAATTATACATATACAAACGTGACTAATTATACAAACTCGAAGTCAGCCCACGTAATTAATATATAATGTTAGTCGCGAGTTGTAATTATAGCAAACTATAGCTATGATGAGTAATTAAGTAGTATAAATTTGCTTAACTGCGTAATTTTTCCAATATATAGGCAGCCCATTTTTTATTTCCTTTTGAGACGCTTGAGAGCACAAAAGCAAGGAAAAGGAGAAAATCAACTACAAGTTGTACATTAAAAAGATATTCTTATTCGTTTTCATAAATTGATTGACATAAAACAAGTAAATTGAAAATACTTATATGTGAAAATCAACTTTGTAGTTTTAATTTTACATTCTAACAATAAAGATTATTTCTAATATTTACGTTTTTTAAAAATCTACTTAAATAAACTATTTACTTTTCTGTCTAAGTTATCACAATAAAGACTTTTATACTTGACATATAAACTTATTTAACTTTTAACTATAGTTTTCACCGTTAGTCAAATACCATTTATAAATTGCATTAAGTGACTGCAACTAAAAATTACATTTGACAATTACCATTCATTATTAATTCAAAAAACTAAACATACAAATTTCATGGGACAAGTGTCTTATGAGTTCAAATGATGTAGTTATCACAATTCGTCAAATGTAACTTAAAGATTGCATTAATTGATTGCGACTAAAAATCACATTCGTCAAATATCATTATTACTAATTCAAAAACTCAATTCCTACAAATCGCATGGGACAAATGTCTTATGAATTTAACGATGTAGTTTATCATAATTTGTCAAATGTAACTTAAAAGTTGCATTAACTAATTGCGACTAAAAATCACATTGGTCAAATATCATTAATCACTAATTCAAAAACTCAACTTACAAATCGCATGGGACAAATGTCTTTGAATTTAAACGATGTAGTTATCACAATTCGTCAAATGTAACTTATAAATTGCATTAGTTGATTGCGACTAAAAATCATACTGGTCAATACCATTAATTACTAATTCAAAAAATTCAACTTACAATCGCATGGGACAAATGTCTAATGAATTTAAACATGTAGTTATCACCATTCGTCAAATGTAACATATAAATTGCATTAACTGATTGCGACTAAAAATCACAATTGACAAATACCATTAATTACTAATTTTAAAAACTTAACTCACAGATAGTATGTAACAAATATATTATGAGTTCAACTCATAAATAAAAATTGACTAATAACTTTTTAAATCATTTTTACATCATATTATATTTAAACTACATTATTTTGATGAATACAAAATTGAAATAAATTATATCATTTTTAATTATTAAACAAATCATTATCATAATGGATAAATCTAAAAAAGAAGAAGAATACAAGAAAAAATTATTATTAAAAAAAAAAGCTTAAAAAATAAAATTAATTAATTAAATAAAGAAACAAAATAAATAAATAATGATCAAACTACACCAAATTTATAGTTACATAAAATAATAATACTATATTACATGAATTTAACGATACAATATAATAAAACTTAGAAGAATACTCCAAAACCCAATATTATATTCTACACTATTACAATTACAAATACATGTAACAACTATCCACAAATAACATTACATGAGTTCAAATCCCAATTTCTTTGTCTAAGAAATAAACCTAGCATATTGCAAAATGTTGTGTGTGTAGTGTGTACCAAGAATTACAAATTGCCTTCTCTTTCAGTGAACTCTAAAAAAACAACTTGGGAAATGTCATCTTCTTCAACCATGGAGGAAGTGAATTCTGTGACTCAAAGCTCTGAACAGCCCATCAAAATGGCCGAACATGTGATTATTCAAAGCCCTCAACCAAACATTTCTGAAACTGAAACTGAAACTGAAAAAGGAGAGCGTCAAAGTAAGTTTTTCATTCTCTGTTTTGCTGTCAAGTGCTGGTAGAGATAGTATTCTTTTGATTTTTTTTTTAGGTGTTTTGGTTTCTGGATCTGTAAAACCCATCAACCTAGAAACTGTTAATTGTTTTATTCGACTTGGGAGGTGATGGAAAATGGGCTTTTGTGGTGATGCTTTTTTGCTATTATACGGGATGTTTGTGTTCTGGAAGAGGGGTTTCTGGGAGAGTAAGTGGTTTCTTACTTATTTTCTTTGTGTTCGGTAGGTAAGAAAAATGTATTATCCTAAAAGCATTTTAATATAATTTAGTCAAATATTAGGGGAGGTGGGAAGGTAGAGGTGTGAGGTGGTGGGGACGAGGATTATGGGGGGTGGCGGTGAAGATGAGGTTGAGGGTGGAGAGGACACAATCAATGTGGAATGCCACTTGCGGAACTTGTTTTCTCTACTTTCATTAGGGAAGTCATTTTCCTCATTTTCAAGGAGCTTGTTTTCCTAGAGAAAATGTTTTCCAAAATATTTGACCAACCGAACATGAGAAAATTGGTTCATAACGAAAGCACCCTTAATCTAGGGGAGCATCACTTGTGTGTCTGTAATTTGTGAAGTAGGGATGTTCTTCAAGAGTAGCATCAGAACAATGAGATTTCTTTGTTTCTAATTCTTTCCTTAAGGAAAAAAAACACTTTTGGTAAGGAGTAGAGAAGAAACCATGCTAGTACTGGGATTCCCCCCCTGGCTTTTGGGCATCTGGTATTAAGAACTCAGTGGTGCGTTTAAATTCCTGTGGGGTAAGCGCAGTTAGGGGTTAGAGCTCTTCCTATCGGGAGTTATGTTCTCCCTTCCTAGGGGTCGAAGCCCAAACCACTACTTGATGTTAGACGGATTCCAACCATCACACCTACCCCTTGCTGGTACTGCGAGGTTTTTCTTGAATGGTTTACAAAGGAAATGAACTGATTTAGAAGCCTAGGGTGCTGAATTAGTAGGATGATGCATCCTACACCCTACACCCTGGAAGGTTTTTGTTGTTTTTTCGGATAAAGATTTATCTGAAGAATCAGTGCATGATTTAGTTGGTTTGTACGCACATATATAGGTGTGTGCTAGTGTATATATAATGAAGTATGCAGTAGGTGTTTAAATTAGCCCTCTGTTTTCAGAAAGATAATTAAATATATGTTTTGAATGGAAATGGTTATTCAAATCTTGCTGTTTAGCCCTTTTTTATAAAAGACGACGCACAACAGATATTTTTGGTTTAACATGTTTGAAACTCTTGGAACCTAATTTGTTTATGATACTAGCTCCACTCTGACTTGATATTGTCATTTCTCGTTGTAGATATTCATGAGGAATTCATTCACAAGAATCGCCTACAAGAGTTGACCCAGCGGTCGTCCCTAGGTCGTCCTGTTTATCACACTGTCAATGCAAGCTCTCAGCATGCACCCCTCTTTAGATCCAGTGTTTTGGTTGATGGGGTTTGGTATACCTCTCCTAACACATTTTCACATGTAAAGGCTGCAGAGCAGGATGCCGCCAAAGTTGCTTTGATTGGCGTGAAAGAAAAGCTGAAACATGAGGGATGCCCTCTTATTCGTGAGGTTTGTTGTATTCTTGCTGAATAATATATTTTGGTTATTCAATTTTATAAGAGTCTAAATGACTTATATCTTAGTTGCTAGGTGATTTTCTCAAAGGGACATCTTATTTAAGGCATGCCTGATTTTAAAGTGGCGCTCACTTTTATAAATGGGCCTTGAATTTTAATTTCTTTGGGCGATGCATTAGGGTTAGAGTATTGGATATCTTGAGGTTAAAAAGGTTGATTCATGATTATCCTGAATTATGGCACTGATAATGTTGTAATATGAGATGAAACTCTCTTCTTTCTCCAACTGAATAGGTCAGTAGATGAAAAGCATGAAAGTTGTGAATAAAAAAGCGTACTCATGCCCTTCATATATGGTGTAGACTGAGGCATTACAGTATTGTATTCATTTTTTCTTAAATCTCTATGACTACTCAGAAATCATTTTTGATCTATCCTTGATATTTTTAACATGTGAATATTGAGGAAGCCAACGGTTGAGACTGCAATATTCTGAAATATTTTTCTTTATCAAAGATCTAAAAGACTATGATGATATGTTGGCTTCTGTCCCAAATGTTGTCTCAGAGTATAATTAGTTTCCAAAGTACTGCCTAGTAATTACCAAGTACCAGTTCTTCCAAAGAATTTTTTCCACCTTCTATATTTTTTATGTCCTCTATACATGTTTATTCTCGGACTTTCCTGGAACTTGAAAGTTCCTCGAAAGATTTAAGTCAGCTTAATTCCGGAGGAAGTAACTTGTTCACTTTTGCTCTCTATTACCCATCGTCATGTTCAATTTAATTGGCACCGCACCAACGCATTTAACTTCAGCGGTGGAATTAAGTAACTATAATTAGTTTGATCTTGATGAATAGGTTCCTATAGCTTTGTACTTTATCCCCTGGGAAGAAGATGTGATGGTGACATGTCACAAAAATTTTCTGAGAAATAGCTGTAATTCTGCAGGCAGGTTTAGTTAATATTCTTCATACACGCATAATGGTTAGACCAAGCTGATTACGGGTTGAAAAATTCAGTGTTTTGGTAGATTATTTACCAATTCCATTGAGTGAAACAGGATGATTCTCGTTGTTTGAAGTGTAAAACACATCCTTGTTTGTCAATAAGCTGAGAGAACCCGTAGGACTAGAAGATACTTCCTTTGGCATGGATGCAAAGAAATTAAAGGTTATAACCTAGTCAAATGGGAGATAACCTTGAAAAGCAAAGACAAAGGAGGTATGGGTATTAGAGATCTAAGGAAGCAAAACAATAGTCTTTTGATGAAGTGGTTATGGAGGTATAATGAAGAGGGGCAAGCTTTATGGAAGGATGTCATCAGATCCAAGTATGGTGAGTACAATCCTTGGTGCAGTAATGTTAGTGTTGATGCCTATGGGGTGGGGGTTTGGAGAACTATCAGAAACTTATGGCAAAAACTTGAAGCTAATACGTATATTGAAGTGGGAAATGGCAGGAGAACTAAGTTTTGGACAGATGCATGGAACAAACAGATTCCTCTAAAAGAATCCATTCCAGATCTGTTCTTACTATGTAGTAATCCTGATGCAAATATCAATGAATGTTGGACAGCACAAGGGTGGGATCTAATCTTCAGAAGGTTTTTGAATGACTGGGAAGTGGAGAGAGAGGCCAAATTGCTAGAGCTTTTAGAAAAATTCCCTGGCATCACCAATGCTCCTGATTCTTTGAGATGGAAACATAGTAAAGAAGGGGCTTTCGCGGTTAGCAGAGCATACAAAATGGAAAGTCCACAGCAACGCAACTCTAAGCAAAGTTTGTGGAGAAAGGTATGGAGAACCTTAGCACCAACTAAGATAAAATGCTTTACATGGTTGGTTGCTAGAAGGGCTTGCCTGACACATGAAGTGCTGAGGAGAAAAGGAAAGATTATAGTATCTTGGTGTTCATTATGCGGGAACGCAGCAGAGACCAACCAGCATCTATTCTTGCATTGCAACTTTACAACACAAATTTGGGCCATCTTCCTTAGTCTCACAAAAACAAATTGGACCACGCCCGAGCATACTGCAGATTTGTTGTGTTGTTGGATAAGAAGAGGGGGAGCAAGAGTCAAAAGGCATGGTGGAGGATAATTCCACATTGCATTTGGTGGACAGTATGGAAAGAAAGAAATAGTAGAAATTTTGAAGATAGGTCCAATTCCATTCAGAAGGTTAGATGGGATTGTATTGCATGCTTTTATTTTTGGTGTAAAGAGAAAGGTTTAGAGGTTACAGAACAAATTGTAGAATTATTAGGACCCTTGTAAATAATTTTTTTTAATTTTTTTTTCTCTTCTTTTGTTCCCCTCTGTTTGCAGGTCACCAACATCTCCTTAATGCTAAAGAATACACCATTACCATTTTCAAAATAAAATAAAATTATGTGTAAAGTGTAAACATTTACCTCTGTGCTTTAGCTTTTAGAGGTCGTTTGGTAATTGGTTAGAGTTATGCAGGTATTAGTAATGTATGGATTAGTTATGAGCGAATCTATGTATTATTTTGTGCATATATTAGTTATGCAAGGATTAGTTATGCATGTATTAGCTATTCCACCTTCTATCCTGTAAAAAATGATACATAGATTCCCTCATAACTTATACATGTATGAGTTATGCGGGTTTCTGAATTATCACCCAAAGGTCGTATAAGTAAGACGGAAATCAATACATAGATAACTTGTTTTTCATCCAACTACCAAACGACACCTTAATGCTATGTAATATTATATGAGCTCACTGGAGACCTTTCCCTTTTTAACTTACCATAGTTGATATGTTATCAACTTCAATCACATATATTGTTCAGTTGTAAGTGATAAAAGCATTTTTTTTGCTAACGGTCTTATGAAAATTAGTGAACTTTAAAGTACTATTCGGATATTCCTTTTTCTTCCGGAAAATGTGGTAGGTGAGTCAACTTACGTTCATCTTGACTAATTCCAATGTCTACCTGATACCTTCCACCACAGTTTTAGTCTGAACAACTCTGATAATCATTGATAAGAAAGAACCTGGTTCTTGGAGTACTTGTACCGGAGACAACTTCTAAAAGAACATGGTCCATGTGCAGAGTTATAATTGAACCTGATACTGGTACAAGAAACATATGGATTTGATCAGGTTCACATAACCTGGTCACTTACTAGGTTGCGGTGAGTGGAAGATTGGTCTCATGAAAGACTTGAGTAAGAGCTCACATCTTACCAAGTCATGATGATCAACATGAAGCTGGTTCTTAGGGGGAGGCGTGCATTTGAGTGCGTATGCGACTACAATGATTGAGTTATATTTTGTTATGGGTTTGCCATCATCAAAATGGGGAAAATTGTTGAGCGAAGAGCCATGAGTTAGGGAGCTATGTGGTAAGCTAACAATGTGAAGTTTTGATGATTAATAGATGATTAGGAAAACATAACAAACATATACAAGAACCAGATATTATACATGTCTCAAATAAGGACTGGTAGTGATTATGAGTTATGACTAAGAACGACCAAAGAACGAATTCCTTAACATGTCTACTACAAGAGATGCCATCAAGAGTACACTGCAAGGATTGAAGAAACCAGGTCCTTCACATTAGTCTTGAAGTTGACAGTTGATCGAGAGCAAAGCAGATTCCAAGTGCATTGATGGATTCCTTGAGAAATTACGATTATGGGTAATCTGGTGCAGTAAGGAACAAGAAGCAATATGAAAATATTATCATATTTGCACACAAGGAAGAAGCTTTAGTAATAAGAGAAGGTCGACGTGGAAGAAAGATGGAAATAAGGTCAAACTTGGATTAGGTTCTTGAATTCTTGAACTAATCCATGTTGAGTTGGGAGAACAAAAAATGACCATCTACTACTATATAAAGCGTTACATTGATGTTGTTGAAGAATCCACACAGAGAGAAAATAGATCATACAAAGAGAGAATAAGAACAAGGTCTTATCACAAAGTTTTTTCAGTTTGAGGAGAGTCACCTGGCAACAAAAAAAGAACCTCTTCCTATCCAGATTTATTATAACAGTTCTTGTTGTCTAGTTTGTTTCGTTGAGCTGAACTTGTAACCTTTGCATTCCTAGTTATTTGTCATAGCTGTTGTTTGGAGTTGTATGGGCTTCCTTCACTAAGTAGAGTCTTGAAAGAAGTGAGATACAATTGGGAGAAATCGTAAAGGGGAAAAGGTGCTATAGTTGTAGATCCCTTGGTTATAGAGTTGTAACATAAAGCAGTGACTCAAATTTAGTGGTAATTTGAGAGGGAAATCCTACAAGGCAGGTCGTATTTTTTTGTTTTTGGGAAAGGGTTTTTTCCAGTAAAATCTTGTGTTAATTATTTTAATTCTGCATTTACCTATTCCATAGTTGCTGGTTCTTCAGTATATAGGTGGCGTCAGAAAATAACACTAGATTTTTCACGAGAAACCCACAGAGAGAGAGAGAGAGTGGGTGGGGTGGGAATAGACTATTTTTCTCTAGCATTGTGATGTTGAACATTTATGTTCACTTTTATTTTACATATATGGATGTATAGGGTACATTTTAATTTAAAGAAGTTTGTTTATTTATGTGTGAATTGTTGAAGAGCCAGAGAATGAGACTTAATGGAAAAGCTTTCAGTTATAGCTGTTGTACTAGTATGGTGTTTGGATATTAGATGGGCACATTCTGTTTCAAAAAAGTAGGTTGATTTATTTATGATGTGTTAAAGAGCCAGAGAATGAGGCTAATTGAAGGGCTTCAGTACTAGTGTGGCGTTTGGATCTTAGGTCTAGCAGACAGGTTCTTTGTTTCTATAGTTTCTGAAATCTAAAACTTATGCTCCAAAGATCAGTTGATCCAAATCTGTTTCAACTCTTGGTCAAATCAACCCTATAAAAGTTTTCTATTTCCATTTACACCAAAGTTGGAACTGGAAGGTGTTTTCTGACAGTCTGAATTATATATCCTTTTTCATATTACTAATACTATTTTACCTTTATGTACTCTAGGATACAGTGTTTTGCAAGTCTATCCTGAATGAGTATGCTGTTAAAATGAACCTGGAGAAACCTACTTATCAGACAAGTCAATCTATGGCAGTGCTTCCTGTTTTTAAGTCTACCTCGTTCTTCAATGGTATTCATTATACGGGAGAAATCGGGAAAAACAAGAAAGAAGCTGAACAGCTGGCAGCTCGAGCAGCAGTTATTTCCATCTTAGGTCAACCACCTTCTCCCAATACCTCTTCCGGAAAAGGAAGGGGATCTCAATTCATCCAAAAAAAAAAAAGAAAAGGAAGGGGATCTCAATATTTAATCTTTCAAGTGCTTCCTTGTAATGAAATGTTAACTTTTCATCACTTATTTTGCAGAAACTGGTGCTGGAACTGTGATGTTTGAGATCATCAAGTCTAAACGCAAGCTTTATGCTGCACTAGATAAAGTTCAGGATACAGGTGATGTTAATGCTGGCTTCTTGCCAATGGAATTTGGTCGTCCACTTCATGTGGATAAAAGAAAAGAAGTTGAAATTAGTGAAGGTGCTGGGAAAAAGGCTAATAGTGGACTTTTAGCATATAGTTTGGGACAACCTAGTGATGTTCAGGCACCAGATCAGCTTCATGTATTTAAAAGACCAAAATCAGGATCTTCAATAGTGGAAGTGGCGCCTCCCATAGTATTTGTGCCCCCTGTCCTGGATCCATCTTTGCTTTGCTCAACTTCTGGAAAGAAACGGCGAAACAAGAGAAAAGCAAAGAAAAAAATTGTGCAAGTTGACCCTCAGTAAGTTTTCTAACTTGTTAGAATGTATCTATATTTGTTATACATGTCTAGATAATTGTATAGTAAGTAGACATAGAATGCTATTAAAGGTTTTGCTATAATTAGGTTTGCTATTGATTAGGAAACTCTTTTGTTTCATCAAACTTAAAGTCCTGTATAAGATGTCTGTTCTATGTTCACAACCAATTAAATAAGTGTTCTGTTCATTTTTTCCTTTTGCCGTCTATATCCTTCCTTTTCCCCTTCATGAGTGACTAAATCTATCTGTTTGCCACTCAGGATTACATTCTCCCACGTCCTTTAGTTGTTACAGTGTCTTCATGACTCTAGCAAATTGGTTTCTGGTCAAATATACTGTATCAAGTCATAAGTCTATTAGTAGACTGTATTATAAATATCTTATCGAGAGGAACACAAAAGTAAAACTATTGTCCTCAAAAGCTTTGCAAAAACTCAGTAGTGCATTTGTTACTTGCGTCTCCTGCACCATCAATCATTTATGGTTAATATAATGAGTTAATATCAAAATTTGTCAAGTTAGCCATATATGTCACCTAACCTTCCTAATTAGTTGTCCATGTAAGCTGTGACACATCAAAACAGTGTGTTGTTCATGTAGTAGTATGCACCACACATTTCCAGCACTTAGTGCGCAAGCATGTAATTGTGTCTTCTATAACAATATTGTTTTTTTTTCTAAAGGAAGTTTCTCTTCTGCAGTTTTTAGTACTTCTAATTTATTTATTTATTGAGAAAGCAACAGAACATTTAAATTTCCCTATACAAGAACTACCACAAGGCCCTCTTTTATGTTTAAATATTCAAAATTCTCAAAAGATTAATATCCATTTTAGACCGCTTATACTTGAATACAACAACATACCCAATGTAGTCCCACATGCCACTTTTATTTGAATGCAATAAAAAAATTAACTTCTTGCTTGAAATTGTGCCCAAGTTGAGGAGGGCACAAGAAGTTGGACAAAGATAAATGTTGGTAGTTAGTACAGATGCTAATTTGCTTAAAGCTCGGATCACGTTAGCCTTGGAACTAAATTCCAGTTACTTCATTTGCAATGTATCGGGACAAATATATTGCATTTGTAAGTTTAAGGTTACTCGCTTGTCAAAGGGTTACTTCGAAAAGCTACTGTGACTCTTGTCTAATTATGAAGTGAAGATAGGGAAGAAGTTGGTCACATGTTAAGTTGAATGACTAACAAACATGTAAGTGGTTCTCAATTACAAACTTATTATGAAAGCTAAGATAAAGAAAAACTTGAAGAAGAAGAAGAGGTTATTTTGTGAAACAACCTAGTTGAATGAGAACCATTCAATTTAAGATGGATGAAAAATACAAGAGAAAATGCAGGAATTGTTATTTACTTGTGGGTGCCTAGCCATTCTCATTTGAGAGTTTTTTGCTTTCATGAGGTTTTCCACTTTGACTAAATCACAGGAATTTATTCAGTGTTTTGCTTTTTTGTCTTCAAGAGAACCTAGTGTGATTAGTGACAGTATAAACTGTATGTATCAGGAACTACAATATTTGGAACGCATAGAGATCTCTATCAGCTGTTTTATTTCTGTGACTAATTCGCGCTCTCCATCTCTCACTACTCACTGTCACTGATTACACTACCTAATCATATAAATCTGACTCCTAGATAACGACCATATTATGAGTTCTTCTGTTAATGATAGTCCTGCCACCTCATTTATTTTAACGACCCAAGTACTATTCAAGTTGTTTTCATATTCACAATCACCACTTTTTTTTTTTTTTGGCCACTCTGTGTTTTAAATTTCTTAATCAACAGATCCTCTTATATATGCAGGGTGCCTGCTGCTACGTTGCCATTGGCTCAAGCTCCCCCCTGCTCGGTGACACAGTGAGTTTCTTGGGCAGTTATTATTTGCAGAGGTGAAGGAACTTAATGAAACGCCAATTGTGTTTGCTGGGATTAGTTCATCGTTGGAATATGTTGCATTTGCTGGAATGGAGTCCAATATCTGTTACCACTTACCTGAACAACGCATAAATGTATGTTAATCTTCTGTAAGTTGTTGCTCCTTGTAGTAACTTGGTACAGACAGTGTCCGCCTTGTCTAAGACATGCAACTTTTGCTGTAGTCGTGGATAGTTTCTTTATGGGTTTGATAAAATACTGGTGTCTTTCTAGTTTTTGGCACACTTTATACTTCTTATAGCGTTTTCTTGCATTGTTGGCTCTAATGCTAATTGCTAATAAGTGAAATGGGATTCACAATTGCAAGAGCCAAGACCATATAAGTCGATCAATCAAGCACAACAGACGTGTAACAACATACACCTCTACACACCTAGCCTTGTCAATTGAAGCATGAACAACACAATACAGGGGCTCAACAGTGAATAAACTATGAATTGAGATGGATCCGACTCTGACACCATGGTTCTGAGGTCTTGAATCATGTTTGTTTTGTGGTGCATTTTGAGGCTAATATGTTACGAAAACATAGCATTATGAAACCCAAAAGTTCCCAACGTATTTTGTTCTTCGTCAAGCTCCCTAACTTTAATTTTCACAATTTTTCTTCCACAAGATTGTCTCACATTAATTATTTAATCTAGCAAATTCCTTCACATGAAAATAATCCCAGATTCAGCATAAACATTTTGAAGTTGAACAACTGACAAATTTCACAAATAATTTATATATAATCTAGTTATTTGAACTCTTTTATCTTCTAATTTCTAGGCATAAATAGTGTTAACTTTTTTATAGGTATCTGGTCACTTGTAAAGATAATTATTGCATTAATTAATTCATAATAATAGTTATCTGAAAACTAAAGCAGGTCACAATGCGAGTTAAATTTGTGAAATTTTGTCAATTGTTTTGTAAATGATCTTCTTTTTATTTTTATTGTAATTTATTGTCCTTTTTAAACTGTAATCTAAAGAACCTTTGAACAAGCTGAATTTTTTAAGAAAAACTGTTGGATCACAGTATAAAATTCTGTATGTTATTGTTTGTCCGTATAGTTGAGTAATATATCACATATGACTAATACATTAGCCTCCAATTTAAATATGTAGATAAGAGTAATCTTTCAAGAATTATACTTGCACAATTTTTAAACATTGGAATAACATTAAGGAAAAAACTACATAAATGGGCCATAAAACACAAAATAATTACATGTTCATACCCCAATTCAAAGTAATTCAAGAAATACTTATTTTTTCAAAAAAAATTACAGTCCATACCCCACATTCATTAAGGTTGATAATTTTTGTTTAACTGATACTAAATCGGTATCATATACTGCATTGATATCATTAAGGCTGATAATTTCACTTCATTGATACTAGTGAGTAATTTCTGAACAAGAAACCTTAATGATACCTATATATATTCTGAACAAGAAACATTAATGATACCAATACAATATATATATATATATATATTGATTTAGTATCAATTAAGCAAAATTATAAGCCTTAATGATACCAATACAGTATATGATACTGATTTAGTATTAGTTAAGCGAAATTAGTTGGGGATATATAGTGTAATTATTTGGTGGGATATCATATATGAATGTAAAGGGGTATATGCTTGTAATAGTTTTATTTTTATGGGGTATTTGCTTAGTATCACCTAAAATTAAAATGGCGACCTTAACTATCATAGGCGGATTTAGGGGAGCGTTTTCACCCGAATCCCCAGTGACTTCTTTGTGCGTTTAAATTTTTTTCGGCTTCTTTTTTTCTTTTTTCATATTCCGAATAAGACCAACTTTCTTCCCAAATTGGTACAACTGTAGTGACCATTTATCTACACCATGTGGGAATTGATATGCACAAAATTGAAATAAGTTCGAGTTAATCTGTCTTCATTCATAACACTATTTGTTAAACGAATTAACAAATTTCCTACTGTATTTATATATATATTTTTATCTTGAAGTTTATTTTACTAATAATTAAACAACAATTTAAATTCTAATGATGTCTCTGTCCATGTGCTAGCACAGTGACACGTAGCAGCAGCCCATGTTAAAAGAGCAGTATTAAAGGGATCCATACTTAATCAAATTCAATAAAAATCTTAGTTAAGTAATTTATTGAGGCTTAATTATATTAGCTGTCTATTAGGAATTTTTTTTACATACATATTATCTGCCCCAGATAAGATATATTCTGGAGCTTAAAAATGAACATGGGCTTGTCATAACTATTCTAAAGGGTGGTACTACAGTCTACATGGGGTAAATAGTACAATTATACTATATAAGTACATATAGTATTACTATTTACTCCCTTCGATTCATTTTAATTATCGTGCTTAATATCTATTAAAAATAACTTATTCAAAATAATTATCGTTATTTTAGATAACAGACAAAACTAATTATTTGTTTTTACTTTATCTTTGCTCAATACATATTACATATTGAGAAATTAATATAGTGAAAAACATAGTAATAAGGTTGAATTAATCAAATAACTTTTCAAAAAATATTTTAAAGAAACATGACAAATAAAATAGATAGAAAATATTGCCTTAAATAAAATGCACTAGAAAGTTAAAAAAAAAAAAACATAATCAATGATGTTCAACTTACTCCCTCTGTTCTTAATTACTTGTCCACTTTTCCTTTTATAGTTGTCCCTAATTACTTGTCCATTTTGATAGATCAAGAAAGGACAAATTTTTTTCATATTATACCCTCAATTAATTAATTTGAAAAAGGTAGAATTTTTTGAAAATATTAATTTTTAACTCATCAATTTCATAATTAATAAGAGTAAAATGGTAAACTCACTAGATCAATAATTATTTTTTTAAAAAGTGTGTCAATTCAAAAATGGATCTTAATAAAAAAAAAAACATAATGTCCTTGAGACATGGAATTGTGTTCATCTCCCAATTCCAGCTTTGATTTTCACATTCCCCATTTCGACTTGTCTGTCACAAAACACACAAACATGTGGATGACAATCTTCATCGGGTTTCACAAATTTCATTTTTAAAAATTGCTTAATTTATTAATAGTAATTTTATATATTACCATTAACTTCTCAAGAATTATCGGTTTTACAAACGTTTATGATTTACTCTCTCAATCTCAAAATTCTTATCGTGTCTTTCATTGACCTACGGTGTGATTACATTTGATATGTTGTTGGTTTGTATTTATGTGTTTCTTAAAAATAATATAAATTAAAAGTAATGTTTAACCATTTTATTCTTATTTATATTTTAAGATATAATTTCTATTTTATTGAATAATTACTCTATTTATGTGCCAAAATATATTGAAGTGTTTATACTCTTCGCAAGCAATTAAATATTAAGTGCTATTTATGTGCCAGAATATATTGAAGTGTGTATACTCTTCACAAACAATTAAATATTAAGTGTAAAATGACAACAAAATAATAAATTTTATTTTAAACTTCTAAAATAACAAATATATACTAAATATTTTGAGACGCAGGGAGTACTACTTACTATATACGTGTGTATTATATATATATATTCTCTCCGTTCATTTTTATTTGTCACTTATTTCTAAAATAAATTTTCATTTTTACTTGTCATTTTTGACATATCAAAAAAAGACAATAACTTTTTTCTATGTTTTACCCTCAATATTAAATATTTTTTTTTTCAAATTATTTTCCAAGACATCATTTAATAAGAGATAATTTGGTAAAATATCTATATCATTAATTATTTTCTTAATAAGTGTATTAAGTAAAACCATGACAAGTAAAAGCGAATGGAGGAAGTATATTAGTCGTTTTATGAGAGAGGTTATTTATTAGAAGTAGAACCAACAGTGCCACTATTAGTCAACAAAATGGAAGTTGTGTCCCAATATTAATTAAGGTCAATAATTGGAAAGAAATTAAATTCCATGCAAACCACTTGATTATTTGAATATTGAACCTGATTGGGGTGCTGCATGCTATTCACAATAATACAACTTGACTGATCCCAAATTGTACAGATGAAACTATAAATTTTACCCTATCGATTGCTTTTGTTGCGTGAGCAATTTAATATGAGAGTTTAACATCCATAAATAATTATGATGAACTTGTTTTGATATGTAAGAAGATAGATATTATTGAACTTAACTCAACTACAAAAACTATCTCACAAGAAAATTAGAATTACACAAGACTATACAATTAGGAAATCACGTAGAACTCTTCAAAACATGTATTCACAATAGGACAGTGAGATTTCATTTATTGTTTCGAACTCAAAGTAAAAGAATAATGTGACCAATATATATAGCTCATAAAAGGATCAAATAAATAGTTAACGTAATAATTAAACTTCTTATTACTGAAACCATGAAAATTAAGTTAAAAAGAATAGACTGATCAGACCAAAATTAAAAAAAATTCCAAGTGAATCTGTCAGCATGTTAAGTATATCTCAATCAAACACAAAAAAAGGAATTTTCAAACAAATTTAGGCTGGAAAAAGCATGTAGTTAGCTCCATGGAATGTGAAATATAATTATAAAATAGAAAGATGCACGTGCTCTTTACCTAAGTAAATTGGCTTCTCAAGGAAGGTTGGTAGGAAATAACCCTTCAACAAAACAAAGTCCATTTTTTTGGAATTTGAAAACTTATTAACAATGTATTAATTGGAATCTGAGACGTGGGTTATGCGTAAGAAACGCCGAAGGTTTTGCTGATTTCTTCTATTTTTATTTTAACTATTAATCACTTATCTCTTTCTATTCTGACAGCTAATTAATTACTATCAATCTCTATATATTTTAATCACTATTCCGGTTTATATTTGACTTGATATATCCGGTAAAAAGTACTTCCTCCGTTAATAATTAGTTGTCATCATTTAAATTTCACGTCTCTTAAG